CAAAAGCGCAGCAATTGTTGTGAAGGTGAAATAACATAAACCTTCAGTTTTATAATTTATTATCTTAGAAAATTAGTTTTTTTGTTTTTCCCCCTTTCCTTGCTTCTGCAGTTGGAATTTCCTGGATGAGGCCTTGGTCCCAAACTGTGGAAACATTTTAAGTGGAAAAATATGTTTGGTAGCTCCAGACACATGCACACAAACATAAAAGGGGCTTCAGCACCTGCCCTTTTTCTTCCTCAAGAGAAAGTGCCTCTTTTTCTGGGGTGCATTTTAAAAAAAATAAATGAATATAAAGTATAGTTATCCCTGTTTTTGCTGAGCTTCGCTGTAAACAAATATAGTTATTGGGGGAAAAAAAACTAAATATCTGGTCCAAAGATGAGACTTCAGAGTTCAGATGCCCTCCCTCTCTCTGTCCCTCTCGCTTGCTCAGCGTCTCCCGGCAGCAGCACAAGACACAGGCAGAAAGGCAGCAGCCCCTCCCAACGTCTGGCTTGTGTGGAGGTGAGTGGTGATGAACAAAATTACCAGTGCCTCCAGTTAACCGCTAATTAAACAAAAGACAAACGGCAAATATAGGCCTGTACTTCCTAACATGCATTACTCATGAGCTGAGCTAATAAGTTAGCTGAAGATATAAGGCAATATCTCATGGCCATACAGGCTAATGTAGGCCTACTGTAGTACTTAATGGAGACATTAAAGGGCCAAACATTTGTGTCAAATAAAGTCATCACAATCGCTACATTGATATGCCAACTAGGCGTTAACTAATTAAAATACGCTAATTTGCACACATTTGACAAGTTACTGCAGGTGAATAGGATAAACAAAATAGCCTAACTAAAGCATATCACCACAGAACCCCAGTTAACGACTTACATCAAGAGTACCTTCCTCTGAAATGTAAGTAAATATGCAGATAAACTTTAAAACAAGAAATTCCCCGAGCCCAGCAACAAAAGTCAGGTGCTGGTAGATAGCAGGATGGGTCTATGAAGAGTCAAATTTGTTGTTGTTTGTAGTTTGTTTTTTGACTTTTTATGCTGATTTGCTATGCTTGTTTTGGTGAATTTTGAATAAATCTATAGATACAGACGGAGGGTAGTAGGCTTAAAACAAACACCATTTAAAAGGTGTATTCTTGAAGTTTTATTTCTATTAGAGTAAAAGAAAACAGCAAAATAGACTCAAAAAAGTGTCCTCCCTTAAACAATAACTTTATATTTCTGATGGTAGGCTCCTCATCTGATAACTATCCATTCCATTCGTTTGTTGTATGCTGATAGATCTTCATACAGACAGCCCTCCCTCAAATGTGAAACTAAGTCCATGTCACCATCAGTAATTGTGTGTGTGTGGTAAGTGTAATATAATAGCAACAATAGTAATGTATTTGATCAATACATTAATGTATACATTGCTGTGTGAAGCTGAAGGTTATCTTTACTCATTTGGCATCTTGCTTGTGAAACACAAAGTAAAAGTATTTAAATAACGTATATTTAAATTATGCCTGCAGCCCAGTGCCAATTTAGTGTACAGATTTACGTTGATTTTGAAATGTTATGTATTCCAGTGACATCGAAAGACAATTTATTGCCTTGTTAAAAATAAACAAATTATTAATGAAACTATGTCTCTCTCCTTGGTGCAGTAATTTATTCTAACTATATACTAGTAGCATAAAAACATGGTCATTGCCATAGTTTCTTTTCTGTTGCCTGCTCACATGATGAACCTAGTGAATACTGAAGTGGTCTCTGTGTGAATTGATTATTTTGTAGAAAAGTAAAAATGTTGAGTACAAGTATTTAATAATTGCGTGAGTGTGAGGGAATTAAAATAAATTGGAAGGAAGTTAGAGTTGAGTTAATATATTTAATGTTAAGTTAAAAACGTGCCCTGCCCACCAAAATGTCTGTGCACGCCCCTGGGTAGCTCCATTGAGTTGCTTTGCTTCCAGTGCTTTTTGGTTTTGAAAAATACTTTTTCTCAGAATTCTTCCACTGACTGAAAGGGCAGAACCCTATTTTGTTTTTACCTGTTTATTATTATTTGTCTGCCGGAGTGGCTCAAATTGCTGTGAGATGAAAAGAGCTAGAAACATGAAACCTGGACTAATTACTTTAAATTGTGGCTTCCCAAGAAACATGAGCCGAATCAGCCAGGTGATGACGTTGGAGTCTGACAAATCTCCCTTTTCACAGCAGCCATTTTGACACATGATAGTATGGTAAATGCAAGTGTCAGCAATCATACTAATAAAGGTTCAGTCAAAGAGTTGATTAGTCTGTGTTTTTATAGAGTTGATCTCTTATCTGGAACATAATCTGCTCTGGATATAAGAAGTGAACCACCGTCGTGGTACTTTAAGATATAATTAATAGTTTGTCCAATCATCCTAAATCTTGGGAGATATCTCCAGGCAACGACTGGGAATAGGTATACTTTGAGCCCAACTCACAAGGGGTGCCACAAACTCATTGGAGTCTCCTGAACTTACACACAGAGTTTTGTTCAAATCCAGTTGAGGACAAATGTCAAAGGGTTAAGCAAGTGCACAATTATTGAAATGCTGCAAACATTGTAATGAAACAAGTGTGTGATTGGTCTCTAGCTGAGGTGACTTTGACTGTCGATGGCAGAATTAGATGCCTTCAAAGTCGTAATCTTCTCTTTTCTTGTGGCGCTACAAGGCGGGAACTAGCACTGAAGCTAGCATGTTTTGACTCGTGATGGTGCCTGAACTAAGCAACCTTCAGTTATCATTGGCAAATTAAACAGTTGTTTAGGATTGGTATGAGATAGATGATTTTTCTATCTGTCAATGTATTTTCATTGTGAATTAGAAAATGGTCTGAGGGCTATTAAAAACCTTGTCACGGGCCAGATTAAGGAATGTAATGCAAACTTGATAGATACTAGGTAGACTTATTTTACTATGACAGAAGGAAGGACAACAATAATGATGAGTAGTATTTTTATTTTATGTCATACATCTCTTGCAAGAAAATCTCCCTCTGTGGAGGGATGGCCAACATATGTGTGTGTGGTACCACTGACCACACGTGGTGCAAACGTCACTGGAACATGTATAGCAGTTAGGGATGCAACGATTACACATTTTGATAGTACAATTATTGTCAGAGAAATAATCACGATTTCACGATTATTACGATTATTATGCATTAATTAATTTCACAACACTAATAATGACTTAAGTTGATTTTTAATATTTAATTACATTAAAAATTATATTTCTATAATATGTAAGTAATATTAATATAAGAGGAATATTAACTTTTATCCCCCAGGGGAAATTGTTATAAAGGAGGGGAATAAACTGAACTGTTACTGTCATCAACTCTCATCCATACATATGTTTTAGTGAAAATGATTGCAGAGAAATTGAGTGCAGTGTTAACTGAAATGTTGTTAATTGGTAGTATAGTTATAGTCCTGAAAGTCTATAAGCCATTGAACATAATGGGCCTCGCAGCGCAGCGGGGCTGTCGTTGCGGTGGGTCTGAAAGGTTACACTTGCTTTGTTTGTTTACGTTGCACTGAAAGCTCAACTCTCACCGCAACGCCATCGATTGTAAGTGACACGTTTATATTTAATTCCCTACCAACTTGCTACGGGCGTGTAAAGCTGGGTGGTGATCCCGCAGGTGCTGCATCAGGTTTAATGTAGGGATTTGCTCCTTTAGCAGGAACCTTTTAACTGCATGTTTATGAACAGGTAATCCGTCATCAGTAACGCCTTGGTTAGACTTGGTGTACCCAAAATGCTCCCACACTGCCGACTTCAGCCGCTTCTTGGCTGGAAATAAAGCTTCACAGTTTGGTCCCTCTGCCATAGTTTAGCCAGTGCACAGTAGCCTCCGATAAGCACGACACTTACGCTGGTGCACCGCTCCTGTAACTTTATTTTCGTTTTGTGCAAGTTGCCACAATTTCGTTCCGTGCAACAGAAACACTTGGTGTAGCGTAGCCTTTACGATTATATATATATATATAGATAATCGCTGCAGCCCTAATAGCAATGTGTGTCAGATTCTGGCTTTAATGGTGCGTTCCATTTGACATGGTAAGTTGGAATTTTCGAGTTCGAAGTCGGAAATTTCAAAGGGAATGCCCCCTTAAGTCGGATTTCTGACTTGGGAAGCTGTGAGAACCGCACTACCCCAACTTTGTGATCCATGATGGCTAATCTGAGTATCAACAGTTAGTGAAAGCTGTAGTTTATACTATTTATTAGAACTTCTGTGGACTTGTGTCTCACAGAAATCTTCGTACACAAAATGATGTCCAACTGCTGTGTGTGGAGGTGTTGCTACAGTGTTTAGTATGCGTAAATACAGCACAGTGCTTTTTTTTTTAATCAACCGGCGTAACAATAGCTAACCTGGCTAGTTGTAAACAATGGCTGGCCGAGCGAGGTTTTCCAACCTGTTAACTCCCAGCTCCAACCTCCAACTGAGTTCAAAAGTGCAAATGACATGCAAGTTAGGTACACTGGTGATCACTACACTACAATGTGATGTTGAGGTAGTAGTCAAATGCCTACCTGATAGAATACTGTAATACTGTATTTACATTTAGCTGACGCTTTTATCCAAAGCGACTTACAATTGCTATACATTTCTGAGGTCATATGCCTCTGGAGCAACTAGGGGTTAAGTGTCTTGCTCAGGGACACAATGGTGGATGTCTCACAGTGGGAATCGAACCCAGGTCTCCTACACCAAAGGCAAGCATCTTATGCTATGCGCCATCATCACCCCCATATATACTTCCATCTTTCAGCAATGACATGACAATTTCCAGCATTAACTAACCCTCCTGGTCCACAGAGTACTGGACAGGCTGTTGAACAAGATTTGCTCTGCAAGCTAAAAGGTTTCTAATAACTCTGGTGACTTTGTATAAATGATGGATGGCCACAGAAATGTGTTGCGTTCTATTTGCAGTCGTCCTCGTTTTCTGAGAGATATTACGAGTTCCGAAGCATTTTTTTTTTTCCGATCTATTGTTTTTTCAATGATCAAATAAGAGAAATCCGTCCTCTAATAAAAATTTCTACACAAAATGAAGTACCTGACTCTCAAACCCTTTTTTGTCTTTTTTGTCTATCCCTTTGTGTCTGTGTGCTGTGGCCGTGGAATTGATTCACTCTTCCTCCTGGATCCTGGGGTGAGTTCAGCGCCGAGAAAATGTTGGAAAACATTTTTTTAAATGGAAACGGTGGTGCCTTAACACCCTGTTGTGTATGCAAGCAGACTGCATTTTCTTGCCTTTTTGACATGGGGCCTTTCTCATTTCCCAAATTTGTGTCACCTCCATTCTCGAGGATGTGACCCATAAATTGATCTCAGTGTGCCATCTTGAAGGACATCTCAATTCCTAAATTGCATCTCGAGCAAGGGGGTAAGCCGCAGTTGGTATAGTGAAGTTGACCAATGCCTGCACGGAGGGTTCCATGTAGGCCCAAAAACCGCATTGTAACCGTTGTAGTGGGACAACGGTGTGGATTTGTAAATTTTATTAAATAAATTTAGAGCTACTCCAAATCCCTCTTTTCCTCTCCCAGAGAGGAGCAGGGGGGGTTAAAGATCAACTTCAACAGACTGCTGACGAGACCTCAACGGAAGGGGGGGGTGGAAAAGTTGCTTTCTTTAAGTGTTCTTTAAGGCGCCAGTTTTACGATCAACTGCCCAGGCGGCAGTTGATCGTAAAACTGGCGCCTTTTTGATTCCGAAGCTGATAACGACTGTTAAACTGACAAAAGGGACACAAACCAGCGATTAGAATTTCCCTGAACAGCCTATCAAAACTGCCCCCCCACACATGTAACCATGGCAACTGAACTGGGTCTGTGTTTCATTACCCCATCAAAGGGGTTGTCTCACCCAAGTGTGACATAAGCCAGGAAGCCGAACTTTAAATAACCAAAGACTGCAGTCTCCAAAGACTCAAAGCATTTAATTAAGATTAATTAAATCTTTAGTTACTTGATTATGTTTGCCTCTATTTGAGTAGTTATGTTACCATGTTATTGCTATCTGTTGTTGATATTAGTGCTGAAAAGAATCTAAATAAGTTACTTTTGCAGTGTTTTTATTTTCAGCAAGACACTCCCTCATCTAATGTGTAATCAGGCGAGGGTGATCAGCATCTGACTGAAGTACAAGTAATGAATGATTTTGCTGAAGGCTGCAGTAGGCCCTACATAACGTGAGTCTATACGCTGCAACATTATCCTCACTTTGATCACGGTACAAGACTAGTAACCGCTCGCATGGGTCTCAGTTATTGTTGACAGTTTCAGAATCGGAAAAACTTTATTAATTCTGAGGGGAAATTCTGTGATATGTGTTTAAGATATGCATATTAGCAAGTTATGGCATAAAAGAGAAAAGACTTAGGTAACTTACATGGTGATCAACATCCTTTATCCGTCATGGTCGGTGATTTCTTTTTTAAAATTTATTATTTATTTATTATTATTAACACTATAAATAGCTTATTTCAACAATCCGAAACATAAAACGGTTTTGAAACAGCAAAGCCAAAAGAAAACAAACCAAAAGAAAGAAGGTAATAGTGAGTCTTATTCAGTTATCATAATGTGTGTCTGTATTGGAAGGATCTTGCTAAAAATGTGGTCAATGGATTTTATCGTTTGAGATTGAGAACGTGCGTCGCTTTAAATGTTGCTGCCGCAAGGAATTGTGGGACGGCATTCCCCTCCTTTCCTTCTTTGTATAATGGGGGTTATTCAAAGTAGAAATGGAATATTTCCTGGGGTGGAAGTCCCCAGGTGGCATGTCGGATAGTTGGATTCTGGTGGTGATTCCTCTTGGCGCCACCTGCCCTTGCCACATAAGCAATATGGTTACATTTCTCATGAGCGACGGGATGTCACAGGGTTTTGATGTCATTTTTGGTCCTACAAAGAACCCTCTGTGCAGGCTTTGCTTGGCTTCACCTTTCTAACTGTGGCTAACCCCTTTGGAGAAAACATCCCTCAAAGTCTGTTGCGCAACGTTGCACAACCGTTCAATCCGAAAACATTTTTGAGACTATCTCCCCAGGTAACCTGCTTATTACAGACACCTGCTTCTCATCAAGCTTATGTTGCAGTTTTCCAGTCACTCAGTGCTGGATTGTTACCTCTCAGGCCTTCCTTGTGGTTCCTAGTTTTGCTTTGTAATTCTTATACTTCTACTGCCTTGTTCCATTTTCCCTTGTGTTTCAGGACCATGCTCACCTGCCTACAAGCTCTCAATCTGGCTCTCCAGACCAAAGCCAGCAAGTCACACACTTCTCTCATTAAGTAAGCTCTGTTTGACGTCAGCCACTGCAAACTGCTCTCTGCCTACCCCAGCGGCATCGCTGTTTACTCCATCTCAATTTGCTGCTCCTTTTTACAATAAATCTCTTATTCTCTATGCCTGTGTCTGAGTCTGATTTGGGTGGGAAGGACCAGCCAGGAGAGAAGAATCTGACACTTTAGTTTGGCAAGGATCCTCCCCTCTGGCAGGACAATGTTTCAAGTGATCAGTGTTTGTTCCTTTTTGTTGTTTTTTTCCCTTGTCTGATGCCAGATCTGCATTTTTCTCCTCAAACTGAACTATTTTGAAGCGTATAAATGTTTCCACTTCCACCTCGCCCTCTTTTCTTTGCTTCAGTCTAATGTCTTTCAGCAAGACAAGGTCTCCCACTACAAAGTTGTCCATCTGGCCCATTTTTGCTTCTCTTTTGCAGACTGTCTTGGCTTTTTTTCATGCTGTCCCTAAACTATGAATATGGAGTATCCTTTTCAGGCCTTTACCAGTTTGTTCAGTGACCTGAAAATACAGAATTCAAGTATAGGCAGAATATACGGCAAATACACAAACATTTTATATTTGTGGGTTACAAAAACCCACAGACTGACCCACAGACACCACTACAAAGCTGCTTTAATGTGGGGCTCAGTATGTGTAGGGTCAGTATAGAGATGCTCAAGTCCAGATTCGGTCCAGTTTGTGGCCTGAGGATTTCACCTGAGTGGGCTTGCCAAATAACAGTATTTGTGGTGACTATAAAGGCCTGACAGACCACAACTGAACAATTTTTCATGTAACACAAAAAAACAAACCAATCAAAGGATCTGTTTCATTTTATTCAAGAATTTGCATTTGCTGGGAAAAGTCATAAGTATGCAATGTCATCAATCATGCTTAACCAAAACATTGTAAGTAGTCCACCATTTACTGAAATAGCTTTTTAATTTCCAACTTTTTTGTTGTTCCCTTGCATTGCTATTAATAATAGTATTAGTTGATAGTACTTTAAACTTCAACATGGGGTCAGGTTTGGTTAGTAGCTGAATATCCAAGATATTCAAATTTATTAATTTATATATAATAAATGAAGGGCAATCCTGGAATCAGGGACCATTAACCAAATATGAAC